ATCAAAACTTGAACCTATAAGCTTTTAACAGTAGGTGTTAACAGATCGATAAAAACACCCTGCTTGACTCTACTCTAGTACTAGATACCGTTATATACATAATACATTATGATATATTATTATTATTATATATATAATATATATATATATATATATATATAATTTATATACAAATCAAAACTTGAATATTGTTTCCTATAAAATATATAACAGCTGCTATATACCTATAAGCTATTACGGATAGCTTTAAAATGAAGTTCGCTCCACTCTGTGTGATCCCTCAAGTTGTATGAATGTGGCCTATCGCTGTGGTAAATACAATGTAAACGTAAGTTAATAAGCCAGATAGACGTACCCCATCACTTCGAGATATCCATCGGAAATAATAAACATTTCCCTGGCCACCTCGCCTTTCCTGCAAATCAGATCGCCAGGTGTATAGATAATGGACGGCATTTTCAGCACTAAATCATGCAAAAATTCTGGCGGACATTCGTTGAACATCGTTACCTTTGAAGGTGTAATACGAAAAAGCCTATATTTAATTTTAAATCGTCAATGAGTGTATCATCACAACTACCACCATCACCACCACCACGATCTCCATCATCATCATCATCATCGGAATAATAATAATAATCATCATCATTATCATCGTCACGACCATCCTCAATATCTACATCATCATCATCATCATCCTCATCATCATCATCATCATCATCGTCATCATCATCATCATCATCGTCGTCGTCTCATCATCATCATCATCATCATCATCGTCGTCGTCGTCGTCTCATCATCATCATCATCATCATCATCATCATCATCATCATCATCATCATCATTATGTTACTTTTTATGACCTTTGACCAGATAAATTGGAATACTTTCGTTGTGTTATACATGTTCCATATTTTATTATATCATGCTTCGTAAACAATATAAATAGCAAATAAAAATATTTAAATTATGATTTACCTTTTTTAATGTTTTAAGATTGACATGCAAAGCCAGCTCTGTTCTCAATTTAGTAGGTAGAAGACCAAGGCTATTGATATCACCCTCCCCGCTCAGGTGACCCCTGTAGAAATGAAAGGACATTACAGTACTGTACACTCGATAACACCACTCCCTACGGTATATCGCAGGTCTAATTTCGGCCTACAATGTTCGTGTCGTCATAAAGTGTACTGTAGTATATATTATATAATATCAACATGTGAACAGATTTTTTACAAATAGAAAAATGCTTGAAAGGGTGTTCCTAATTACTTTTGATTTTTATTACTGAATAAGTTAACGTGATCATAGTTTGTAGAATTGCAATGTTTTTCAAATATTATTAATTATCCTTAATGTATTCTAGGTCGAATTCTGAAACATATATTATTAAATATTCAGTCTGATAAGTAAACTGCACTATATCCCGTGAGGGTGGGTGCGGGGGCCCGTTCATGCATCAGAGATTTCACCAACAATACTAATTAATGTACACACCTGCTCCACGTGTAGTCATACCATCTACGTACGCGGGTCTGCACATCTGTAGGAACGTTGTTTGTCCGCATATATTTTTTAGCATTGTCCTGAAATAGGTGTGAAATGTCAGACAAAGGTAAATACTCTAATGTATTGCTAACTTTACACGAAGATACATTTCGGCAGTGGCAATAGTTACACCAGTCTTAAATGAATTTGTAATTCTGGTTTTAGTTGTTATCGTATGTACAGTATACCTAAATTGGATTAGGACAACCAACCTATCATGTTTGTTTGTTTTGTTTGTAAATTAGTTTCCACAAATTTGTTTATTGCTTGTTTGGTTGATTAGGTCGGTCTTCAGATGGTTAGTTGGTTGATTGATGTTTGATTGGTTGATAGTAACCAAAGGTAAATAATGCGATAGACAACAAAACCTCATTCCTGTCAGACTCACCAGTTGGCGTTCGAATGCTAAACGTGCTGCATTTCTGTTTTCTATTACTGTCCCTACTTGACCTAAAAAAAAAATAATAACAATTAGTGGGTGTCGCTTGGATGTGTTAATCGGCTTTCGTAATATATGGGAGTCCCTAGCGATTGGGCTAATAAATAGTTGTGTTGTTATGGGAAGCGAATGACGTAGAAGGAATCTGGAAACATTTTTAGAACTCACAGTCATGTTATCGGATGATTAGGTGCTTAGTTGGATAGAAGTGATAATAATATAATGGGTGTATAATATGTAGGCCTTTTTATTAAAGATGATGACGATAATGAATAATAATAGGCCTAATAAAAGTTCGAGTTTTCTAAAGTGGTGTGTGAGGCGCGAACCTTAGGCCTGACTTATGTGATTTATGTTTTAGTGGAGTACTGTATTTTATGTTATTGGTATAAGAAAAGCCATAGGTTTCAATCATAGAGAAAGAATGAAATTAGTCTGATAGTTTCAAGTTGGTGAAAAATAACCTTACCAAATAAAAGGTTTAAAATAATGTGCAAGTGTTCTGATGTTGCGAATGTAACTGGTCAAGTTTAGAAAATCTTCAAGTCACATGCATTGAATGAATAGACACATATGCGGTAGATAATATAATGCAATGCCATATGAACTATTTTAGCTTACCGACAACAGATGCAAATATGAATACTCCAATCAAGTAACCAACTATCTGCACAGCGTATCTGTGAAATAAGATTGCATTGCACCGTTTGAACTTACAGCTGAACTTAATATGTAAGTATTGTGTGCCTGGTATAATCGTGTAGTAGTATAAAAGTACAGTATGAGAGAATGAACCGTATTGTGAGGGCTTAAAACTAGAATGCTATAACTTCAAATAAGTCTTCATAGATATTGTTTAAGTTTTTAAACAATAAAAATCTTTAAAAATATTGCTCAAATTTTGTTCTCGTGATTAACAACATCATGACATAAATGTTGTGTGTACAATAATTGCTAAAATATCAGTAATATTGTTTTGATTATTTTATGCTCTATTTTATAAATGTTAATAGATATCAAATGTTTTGCGCTTGACAATTCTGGTACGAACTTCGTATAGAGATCAATATTTAACTGATTTCAATCAAAAATTGATTGATATTGACTACGATATTTTAGTATATCATTCATCATTTAGGTACCGTATATGATTAATATCTGAAAATGATACAAGCCATAATCTAGGTCTATAAGCAGGGCCGGCGGAACGTTTTTCAAAGTGGGGAGGGGGGGGGCCCACTTATAAGCAGGCGCGTAACAGTGGTCTTGGGTCAGGGGGGTGGCGGCAAAAGGTAATAATTTTCCCGGTTAGGAATTTATGACTTGATGTGATACCCACTCCCCCCCCCACATAGAAAACAATACGACATAGGGCTTATTTTATTATTACACACGTGTGTTTGAAACTAAATATAAGCATTTTCATCGTGGTTTTATTTATTACAATCATAGGCCTATTCTTTCACCATCATTACACATTGAGGCCCTTCTCTTAGGTAAAACGATCTATCTTAAATTTTCTTTCTCAAGTTTGGGACTATTATGTTTTTTAATAACTTAGAAGGCAAAGGAGCGCAAGCACAAGCCTTAACCCTAACAAATGCGCGAAAAATTTTTGTGTTGTTAATTTTAATTTCGTCGGAATTGATCAAAACTCCCTAAAATGTGCAATTTTTAGAGGAAATTGGCCTACCTCAACAAGAAATGCTCTTATGTTATATATGGCCACACTCGTTTTTTTGAACTGAATATAAGAATTTTCCTTATGGATTTATTTATTACAAACATATTCTTTCAACATCATTACACATTGAGGCCCTTCTTTTATAAACGATCTATCCTTAAATTTTCTTTCTTGAGTTTGGGACTATGTGTTATAATTTATAAGGCAAAGGAGAGCAAGCACAAGCTTTAACATTAAAAAATGCGCGCGTACCGTAGTGCGCGAAAAATGTTGTTTTCTAATTTCGTCGGAATTGATCAAAACTCCCTAAAATGTGCAATTTTTAGAGGAAATTGGCCTACCTCAACAAAATATTGGATTTAAAATTTGAGATTTTCAGGCACTTTTCCGGGTGAAAAGGGCGTTCAATGGGGAAAGATTTTCCCCTTGTTCCCTGGTGGTTATACCACTGCGGAGAATACCTGGCGGCTTAGATCAAATGCGATATGGACACTTTTTGAAGTAGAGAAGGGGTTGCAGGCCGGGGTATTGTGATATCTGTTCATTATATCTTCCTTTTTATTCTTGTCTTTATTTTTCTCTTCTCTTTTTCTTTTTCTTTTTCCTTTCTTTTTCTTTCCCCTTCTTTCTCTTTCCCTCCCTCCCTCCTCTTTCTTTTCTCTTCTTACCCAGCCCGGTACGACGGCTTGGTCAGCCCGGTAAAAACCTGTCTCTTATACACATCTAGATGTGTATAAGATACAGCTGCGGGACTTTATGAGTCCGATAGTCAGGCATTCATTAGGGACCAATCCAAAGATGTCGTAAAGAGGGGCCGAAAGTGGTGCTGATCGATATATCACTACCCTGGGGTCCGGGGGCATGCCCTCGCAAAAATTTAGTGTTCGAGACTCCCGAAAATATCCTTTGAGGAGCTTTGGGAAATTATTTTTTTTCTTTTTCCTTCTTTCTTTTCTTTTTTTTTTCTTTGCAAACGGAGGTGCGGGGGGGGGGGGTGGTGTTTTTGGAGGGCCGGCCCGGCACCCCTCTAAATCCGCCCCCGTTCATTTTGATAAATATTGATGGGCGAATAACAAATCGATTGGTAGCATGGAAAGTAAATTTTAATGTGTAAGCATCTGGGGTCGCTTAATGTGGATAAATGAACAATTGGAATTAACCTGCTTCACGAATAATTGAAATACCAACGTTTAAACGTAAGAAGTTACATACAATATTTTCGTTTTTGTTTAAACTAATACATAACCAATGATCACTGCACGTTATAGTTAATCATGTAAAATAAGCTTATGGATTTAATTTTAAAACAGAAGTAACCAATTTTCAAGACGTGCCTTGGTGGTAGGAATCCATTAAATAGTGCATGTACAGTACGGTAGTTATATAATGATGACTGCAAAAACCACATGATTAAATACCGTACCTATCTTTTGAAAATTTTGTTTAATTTGATTTACAAAACATAACAAGAAAATCACTGTTCTTAATAGGCTACCATGCATGTATTTTCCATACAAAAGAAAGGTTAGAACAAATCCCTAGAATTACAGAGGTATATCTGACATTCTTGCATTGTGTAAAGAATTTCTCAGTATTTTTTATATAGTGCCGCTAAGCAAGCATGATTCCTTAAATATTTAGGACATTCAATAACATTTTTATCCTTGAAAACCCAATATAAAGCATTATGTATAAGAAAAAGGTAGTACGTTGCTTTATTGCCTTCAACGTGCATTCAGTTCTATAAATAAATAATTAGGTACTTTAGATATAAGTGTGTTGATGTTAATAAGAAAATGTTCAGTATTTTAAGTTATATATGTAATATTATTAGAAACCATATAACGGAAATCACCACTGTCTTAAATTGTATCAATAGCCTTTTTATCAATGACTTGCCAATCAAAACGTGATATTTAATTGGCGGGAATACGCGCATGTCAGACAAACACACGTACGTTACACTGTTACCTTTGCAACATTTTTCAAAGGGCAGGACTTAACAAAAAGTTCATTCAACAATCACATTTATTGTTCTGTAGATTTGTACTTAAATTAAAAAAAAAAACTGCCTAAACTATGGTGTTAGACCTCATGGTAATGCTTACTTATAATACATCTTTTAATGATATACGTTTTTTGGTTTAGTTTAGTTAATGAAATTGATTCTTCGTCTTCTTTTAAATTTAGAGCCAACTTCATAGCCGAAGATTTCGGTCCCAGCTTCTGCTGCAAATAGTCTCACCGGAAGCGAGGCGACAATAAATAAATAAATAAAAATGAAATATAAATAAAGTAAAAAAGTGCCTGTAACCCAAGGCCGGGCCCTTCTTGGTGCTAACATTCTTGGGCCGGAGGGAACCAGGAGCTTGTCTTGAGCAGGGACGCCCAACTCCCTGGGTAATGTCAATAGTCTACGTCTAGAGAGCTTACCAGATTCGAACTGAAAGTTAGCACAATGTTGTCGTTTTAATTTAAAGGAAAATAAAATGAAATGGAATGTTGTTGGTGTTGGTTCGTTTTCACAAGGTATTTTAGACAAAATCTTTTATTTGGAATCTCAAATTACGTTTAAAAGACATTGAAAGTAAAACCTGATAAAATTTATTTTTTTTAAAGATACATACAACATATTTTATTACTTAAAACAAACATTTACTGCCAACATAATTATCTTCCACTTTCAATTTTCAAAAAGCCCATTTTCAAAATGAAGTTTAGGAAATCTGATCTAGAAATTGAACAAGGAATAGGTTAAACAAACAGAATAAATAAAGAACCCACACCTTACGTCATTTTAATGAAACATAATTCCAGTAATATTACTTTATTCAAATGAATTCAAGTTTAAGATGTTAATGTCTGTTGAGTTTTGATTTGACAACAAATCAAATTATTTCAAGTTACATTAATTCTTTTAAGATATAGTTCAAGCAATGAAAATTATAGTTTTAGTAGTGTATTGTCATTTTATTTAGCTGTCTGTGTTATATATTCTGAGTAAACCTTCGTGTTAGAGTAAAAATGGTAACCAGCCAAGCATATTTGATTTTTGCTCCTATTTTTATTTGGCTTTGGCTTCCTGAATAAAGTCAGAGAAGTTGATAAACTACGCATGAATCTGATATA